TTTACACACAAGTACACAAAAGACTATTTTTTGCATAGAGTAAAATAAGGTATTTCAGCCAAAAGACGAGACAATTGATGGCTGGGATCTTCGTATCTATGAAGGGCACATCTTCATTGCAACCAAGTTTAAGCTGGTTTATATTAATGGTGCGTCCGGGAAGGTCAGCGATCACCCATTCGAAGACTCTCAAATGGTTTTCAGATCAGTGAAGCAAAGATCTGCGATTATCTCCCAGATGGCGGAATTCCAAATCGCCATCTGCGACTTGGCGTGGCGATGGTGGGCGATCAGCTCGTTTACGATATCTATGTTTCGGTTAATGGTAGGGCCAACTTGATTCATGAATATATGTAATAAGTTATTACTAATAACGGTATTTAGATGTTTTTCTATACTTCAAAGTTGTTGATGACGCGATCACCTTTATGCTATTTATAAACCCAGGTGTCGGCCGCATCACGTGCTGGGATAGTGCCACAAATCCTTGGATGGTAGACTTGGAACCCAGCAGCTTTTTCAGCTCTTTTTTAGACCATTGGCGGGGTAAATGGAGGCCTTACTCAAATCGACTTGATGGAAATGTACCGAGAAAAGCCGGTGGCCTATGAAGAAGTCAAACCGTGGCCGCAGACCATCGGAAAGGTTCATACCACCCGTAATTAGAGCGTGAAAGCTCCTGATATGCGTCCTTTAAGTGCTTACAAGGAGACGTTTTTAGGTGGGCACGGAGTTTCGTAACGAGACCTAGCTCATTCGAAGAGCTTGAAAAACTGAGCAAGATCCCGTATTCCATTTCTGCGAAACGATAGCGATTGATTTTTAATAATTACATTAAAGAATTAGCAGAAACGGCGTTTGCCTCTGACGAAATTTTTTTTTGGACTTTTTGTCAGTGGACGCCTGAGCCCAGAATTCGTTTTGCTTTTTAATTCCTGAACACGTTCTAAACATGGAATCTAGTCCAAAATTAATTTTTTTTGTGGTATGCCCCAAACCGGTAGCGCTGCACTCGCGTCTCGGGGATTGAAATCAACTGGTCCGCTTGCGCCTACACCGATGCTGTTCAGAACATTTATGTAACGCATTGCGATAATTAAATTAAAATAAATAATAAATTCAGCCTCCTAAAATAAAAAGCAAAACAAATTCTGGGCTCAGGGGTCGAATTGACAAAAAGTCCAAAAAAATTTCGTGAGAGGCAAACGCCGTACCGGCTGCGCCAAATCGCTATGAGGAAGGGAAGACGGGGCCTGGCTTTCCGACAGAGGCGATCCTTGGAAGGAAATCGCTCCGCGCGAGGGGAATCATGCCAATTTCTGCTAATTCTTTAATTTAATTATTAAAAATCAATCGCTATCGTTTCGCAGAAATAGAAAACGGGATCTTGCTCAGTTTTTCAAGCTCTTTCGAATGAGCTAGGTCTCGTTACGAAACTCCGTGCCCACCTAAAAAACGTCTCCTTGTTAGCAGGATTTGTCGAGGTCTTGAGTTTGAAATACTCAAGTTTCAAAACTCTGATTTAGCTTCCGATGACGCAATAATCCTGAATCTTTAGATAATAAACCCGTGGCACCTCGCGGCCATACAGTTCCTAGGGTTGGTCATAGACAAAAGCCTTCGATGGCATGGTCCATTTTAGTCATGTTGGGAACCTGCAGCAGTTCAAACCGCCCGCAAAACCAGACGCAGCCACCATAATTGAGCAAATAATGGATTTTAACCAGTATTATCGCTCGTTTTTGCTCAAGAAGAAAGGAGAATCTGGGATCCTCCGATATGCAAAACTGGGCACCGGAAGGCTCCCAGGAGGTGTGTTTCAGCTTTGCAAGTTTTATAATGAAGCTTTACCTTCGTATTATCGCACTTTCTTAGGCGGTATGATAGTTGATCAACTGCATTTCCCCGAGCTCCATACCGTAAGCTACGAACCGGGGGATTACGCCTGCATACCGACCGCTTACCCATATGCTTCCCAGACGGCGGGCACGTAAGTTCCATCGAAAAAGGCCTAAAGGCTTTTTGAACAATTTTTGAAAATTCCAATCCAGGACCAACGTCATAGAAGACGGCCCATGCGTGTTATTTTTTCACAAAGAAGGAAGTCAGACACGAGTTGAGGTATTCGGCCCCACTCCCAGATGAACTGAGCCTACTTTTAGCTCCACATGCTCATTGGGCCGCTTCCCAATAATCTGCCGATAACAATAATAGGTCATGAAACGCACAGGTTGCCCAAGCGAAAATCCAAGGCTGTTTTCTTGCGCCCTGATGATGCCGTCCACATCATCTTTTCTTGGGGGTTGGTCTGTCTGGAACTGTCTGACACTGGATGTACTAACTTAAGGGCAAAAACTGCTTTCAGAACCGTCATATATTATTGGGGTACGAACGGCTGCGACTGGGTGAAGTGTGCAGAAAATGATTCTTACACGGCTAGGTAGGGAAGAAATCATGGTTTGTATCTGTCTAGCGAGCACGAAATCGTCGATTTGTTTTACTTTTCATGGGCTCAGAACCTTTTGTGCCTATTGGGAAATGGGACCGTAATGACGTTTGGTTGTAGATCTGAAAGAGGTATGTTTAAAGTGACGTTTGACTTTGACTGCTTCCAGGTATCTTGAGTCTTACCCGCTTACACTCGACGAAAAGCACTTTCATCGATAGAGCAGAGGGGTTCTTTGTCGGCTCCGAAAAATATCCATGCGTGGTATTAGTTTGCACTTGACCTATATATAATAGTTTTTTAGATCGCTGGTTTTGCTTATGGCCGGAATCCACTTAATCGCAAGGTAGCTTAACAATGAACTTTTTTTAAAAATATAATTTTTTTTTCCCAAAATAAAAAACCCCCCCCCCCCCCCAGGGAGAGGGGGGGGAAGGGGAGAGGGAGAAGGGGGGGGCTTTAAGGCATATTCGATCGTCCTCTATGATTATTATGCCGAAGCACTTATCTGTACATCAGTGAAGGACTATAGTCTGCTTATCGAAGGGGCCAAACGCTTTTTTGCTATGCAAGATTTATCTTTCAATTTATATATTTTTTTTAGAAATATTGGCATGCAATATGGGCAAACATTTCTTCGTTGCCACCTTGGGGACCATGACGAGATTTCGGTAAGCATTAGTGTTGGGTTTTATATTGCGTTTAGGGCTTCACCGTCGAAAATATTATCGTGGAAACTACCACGCTTCAACGGCCCCTATTTCAGCACAGTGTGAAAAAGATGATCTCGAGTTGCCTTGAGGTTTATCAATTATCGCTGGTAAGGTTTTCCAAATGATTAGGATCGGCAAATTTAGGTTGCCGCGATCGGCAGTCAGGTCTCTATTCTGGTTTACGAGCCTGGGAAAGGTTCTTAGGGTCTTTTTTTAAAAACTCAGCTTTTAGAAATTTTAATAAAAGTCAACGAACACAGTTGGGCGCGTGAATATTACGATGGGACGTTTGCCTACGTAAGTAATGGGCGCTCAAAACAAACCCTCGTTTTCGACCCGGGAATGCGTCTCGAATGGCCGAAGATTCTTGAGAACCACATTATTCTTATTATCATGTGAAGGGATCGAAGTTCTTGAGCTGGTAGTGAAAGGAACGGAATTCAGAGCAAAAGGACAACCTGGTAAGTACAACGTTCCGCCCTGCATGCAGTTCTATAGCTCGCCTTCTTCCGGAAGTTATCGTACCTCACCGGCTCATCTTCACCAAGTTGTTTGTTGCCGAGGATCTATCCACTTGGCAAATTTGCTCTATTTCATCAGTGAGCTTCAACACCTTTTGAGTTCAATTTTATAACTTAGAAAAGTAACATCGAAGGTGTAGTCGCGCTGTTTTGCTGCGGCCGTTGCTTAATCAACAATCATACTGTTTTTTACATTATGTAGGCAAAATTTCCGGAAGCTTACGAATATTTAGTGGATTAATTTATCACAGCGGCAAATTTTTGGCCAATGAGCAATCTTGCGGAAGAGCGTGTTTAGCCGGTGATTGGACAGAGAACAAACTGCAAGTAGGCGCTATCGGAAAATTCAGCCATGTCTTCACAGCTAAATCCCGAACGATCAATGCTAGACGATGGGACCGAGGAGTTTTCACTGCGGCTCTTTGTTGAAGGAAATCCCGCGCGCGATCAAGCATCTGTTTTCAACCCTTGCCGGCCCCTATAAATCCTTTTAGAAACGAGCCACGTGGAAAACTCATAAAGCTGGATTTGACTTTCAACCGGTTTGTCGGTGCTGAAATATTTATGACCTTTTAGGCCAAAGAAGCAATCGCTCATCTAAATCTGGGCACGAAGACAGTTTCGGTAAGCCAAAAAAATCGCGCCAATGCCTCTTTTCAGCTAATCGATAAGGACACGCATTTCGACGTGACGGTAAGCTTGGGCTTTATCATGCCGCGAAGCCAGGAACTCTGTGAGCTCGGTAAGCCGCTGGCAAAACAAATTTAGAAAGAATTGAGGTATCGGCCACCTGCTCGTGCGCCGGAAGGACGAATATTGTTTTGTAGCGATTCGTGACCAGAAGACAAAGCAAAAAGTCAGGGTTGTGCTCATTGAAATTTGGCACCTATCATCCCCGGATGGGCAAGATTCATTTCAGAACTACCACGCGGTCCGTGGGCTGACGCAGCTCCACGATAGTCTCGGGATGCATCAAATCACGCATATTTTTGAGTAGGTACTTTTGAACACTTTAGCCTTTTTTTAGCGACCACGGGATGGTCTATTCCAAAGACGGGCTCCACATCATCCGGCTATGCAACTGCCAGAGTGATCGTGTCTTCCCGGTACCGAACGCGGTTCTAGACGCCTTTGCATCAAGTCGAAAGCACCGTAATCAATAATTATTTTTTGTTGTTTTGTATCGGTCCGTTTTATGTACAACTTTATCATAATCGTCGTAATATTTAAGTGAATAAATGGCAAGCAAGACAGTGTAAGATACCTGAATATACAAAAGACATATCTAAAATCGCCAGAATTCTGGCATCCCAATACTCATTTCTTGTCCTGCGATTTTATGCAAGAACATAGACGCATAACATGTAGAGCATCCGGCCCATAGGCTAGGGCGTTGTTCCTAAAAATGTTAGATTAGTCTAAAGACACTTTTTCGGAGCAGCCAATCTACTCACATTGAAGTAATGAATCGTCTAGTAAGGCTCAAAATTGCACAACACCTACTCGAATAGCTGCACCACTTTGTCGACCCCAAATTTCTTGTGTAGTCGTATGGGCCGTTTGTCGGAGCGGTGTTTTGTCTTGAATGACTGGTATGACCGTTCCATAAAATCCCCGGTCGCGGCAATCTCATGTTGCATTGGTATCCAACAATACTCATTCGGCCGTCGATACAATATGTGTAGGTTTCCTGAATTCCGATTAGACGCTACTAACTCTATCGTCACCTTTTCCAGAAGCCGGGCCAACCGGAAGTTGCGCAAAATGGTTTACCTTCGAGATATCGAACTCCCTTTTCTCATCATAGACCTAGAATCAAAAATTATGGCTTTTTCACTTGCTAAACTGACGGTCACTTGAGTATCCCCAAAGCTATATCTTCCATCCACCCAGCCATTTTCTTCGAATTCGAACGGAAGCTTGTCGCCTGATAACCGCCAATACGCAACTTTCTGAAGGAATTTTCCTTAGCAAATTGCCAGCGATAAGTGTGTACCTCGCTTAGCTTTCCGTTCGCCGGGTCCCTATGGTCTTGAATAATTCCGACTCCGCGCATCAGTCCACCGTGGAAATAGATCTCTAAATGGAAGTGTCAGTCCATTAGTCTGACTATGAACACGGGATACAAGAGAGGAAATGTTTCGATATGCTAATTTGAAGAATATATCGAGAAAACGCCAGAGTTTTTGTATTTTCACCATTTTCAAAAATGACCTGTGTTCTCGATGCAATATGATTTCCGGATGATTTCGTCTTGCGCGAGCCGGTAATCGTTGCCTGCTGTGTGTTCTTACCCACTCCGAATGCGATGATGCTTAAAAGAAACAAAATTTGCAGCTTTGCGGATCAAAATCACTGATATTCTGTTTTAAAATCCATACCCGGCATAAAACACGGTTTCCACGCCCTCGAGGCGCTTTTCGCAGAAAAACAGTTGCAGGGCGCCTCTCTCTGGCTAAAACGCGGGTAACAGTTAACCTTCTAAGGTTTGATTAAAGTAAAAAAAGAAAATGGCAAAATAACGTTTTAGCCAACCTGCAGCGGCCCAGCACAAATTTGCATATTTTTCAGATTATCGGAAATCAGCAGGGTTTGGTGGCAAACTCTTTGCTGGATCATAACTCGCGGTAGATAAAGCACTAAAGCTGATATGACAATTTCGAGATTTCACCCAACCTTTTGCTTTAGGGCCGCTTCCTATTTTGGTTTTGCCACCGCGAACAAGCAGCTCCAGGCGTTCGAAGCCCTCGCTTGAGAGCAGCACCATTGTTATTAGAATGGCCGGCCTTCCTTTGAACGTTTTTAATTCGGCCTTAAAGAGTGTTCATTGTTATATTTTATGGGTACCGGGAAAAGGGCAACATCGTAATATACGGGAGCCCACGTGTGTTGATTGGCGTTGACGATAGTTTCTGAGGTTGTTTCGTATTACCCGGGGGGGGGGGGGGGGGGGGGAAACGAAATTTTTTCGTATCAACCAAGAAATACCTAATAACTTAATCGGAAGCATGTTCATAAGGATTTTGGTAAAATCAAAATAAATTTTAGCTAGAAAAACCGTTCAAAAATGCTTAAAGTTCTTCAAGTCGTCGAAATTTCGGCTAAAAAAGGCCATTTATGGTCGAAAAATCTATATTTTCTGTATTTTCAAAACAAACTTTTCAAATTTCTGACGTTTACGTTACGTACGTTACCTAGAAAATGACATTCTTACGATTAACAGTCCGTACCTGTTGTAGGATCGTACACCAGGATTGTGGCCTGACTTCCAATTGCGGCAATCTAAAAAAATGCCATTGATGAAAAGCGGAGGTTCCACTTACCACAGTAAGACCGCACTTTTCTACGTGTATTGAGACCATTTTCCGCACTTGGTGCTCAACCATGGACCGTTGGAACGGGGGAGAATCATGCATCACTTCGCAGAATGTGGCCTAAGGGAAATGAAAAGGAACTTCAGCAATTCACGGTAGCTTACCGTGATCTGGTCATTGGCGCCGAAATGGGTGAGCACGACACATTGAATCTCGTGCATACCGACTGTTCTTAAAATCGCATAGTAAAATTGGATATTAGAGAATTTTCTTGCCATGCCAAAGCTGCACAAGGAAAACCTACAGGCCAAAAAATCGCCGCACAGCATCGAAAGTCTTCTGATAATCCTTGACCGAAGCGAAGAGCACGCGTTGATGCACCAAGTCATAGAGCACGATGGAAATCGCCTAAACCGTGTAGATACCCGCCTTTTTGTACTCCTTACCGATCGAGAGAATGGGTTTAAGCCTCGTCCATAGCCAAAAACCTAAAAAGCATACCCAGACAAGCTCAAAAACCTACGACATCGCCTCCCAATAGCTGCCATGAAACGAAAGCCTCTGCCCGGAACATTTGCTCAATTTTCTGCCAGCGCATCGGGACGACCTCGAGCTTGCCTAAAAAATTTGCGGAGAAAATAGGCATTGGGGATACCGTTCCGAACCAAACATTTGTAGGTGACTAGGGTTGCATTCCCGAGTAGCAGCATCAACACCTGCTCCATCGGTTTGTACGCCAAATCGACGACCTTGGAATGGCTGAAAACATTGATCGGCTGTGAAACAAAAGTAAGCTGAGTTTTCGATTTGTTTAAAGGGTCAGGGACGGTCTAGGTAGTTTGGGTTTTTTGTCAAACAGCAAACGATTACGCAACGATAAGACAGCTCCTGGGCTGGAGTGCCTGCGCAAGAGGCCCTCTCTCTTTCTCTCTCTCCCCCCCCCCCCCCTTTTCTCTTCTCTCCCTCTCTCTCTCTCTCTCTCTCTCTCTCTTTCAATAACGCACGCCCTCCCATTAAGTCTCTTTCTCTCGCTTTGGCTCTCACCATTTATGCCGTCCTTATCTCATTAACTTAATACCGTAGTTCCTCTAATATAACCCCAGGGGTTATATTAGAGGAAATGCTATTGTATCAGAGGAGAGATATATTTTTCGTGATTTTGAGCAATTACAACGGTTTCTAGGAGCTCAAACTGCTCATAACTATCAGCAACGCAGACGAAGCTTAAACAAAAACATTTTTGGCATTTTTTACATCTTAGAGGCAACTTCAAAAAAAAATTGAAGAATTGGAGAAAACCTATATTAGTGGACATATGGTATTTGTTTTTCCATGATCTTTTGAACTAACCGATGGAATTCATTTTTGCCAATGACTTGTACAGTATCTTCGAAGATAAGACCGCGATCTTCACACGGCGTCGCATGCAAGAATCCTTGGCTGAAATTGGCATTGAAGGGATATCTTTGACTTTGACAGGTTGGGGAGAATGCTCCACAAACCGGCAAACCAAAAACCTTCAGACCAGCTGCGTTCATGATCAGACTGAACACCTACCTCCACGCAATGATCAAGTGCTGCGACTTTTCTGTGACCAGACAAATCGACTTGATGTCTTTGGCTCTCCTTCCCCAAGCTTCATCGACGATATAATCGACATTGTCGGGATCCTTGATTCCCAGCTTACGGCCGCGCTGATCAAGGAACTAAAACCATTTTTCTATCAGCAGCCAATTAATTTTCACCTTAATGACAAAGTTTCCATCCTTGACGCCCCACGCTAACATGCAGGGGTTTTCGTCGAGTGCCTCTTTGCTAAGAAATGAGGTACGTTACAGGCATAAAGCAAATTACAGAATTACAAAATACAAGTAAAATTGAAAATTCGCTAAACTAAAAGAACTTAAAAACCTACGCAATTTGTTTTTTGTCGAAAAACAATATGGTCGGGAGGCTATAAGTTAATCCGGGTTCTATCGGTGTTGATGGGTGTTTGATAAGTTGCAGCTTCTTTTCTGTAACGAGCCATCATTAGGATCCGAAAGAAGGCTCGATCAACCAAAATTGATTATGCGCACCAGCATCCGTTGCTCCCATGACGACATGCCCGCGAACTTCGAACAAGTAGCTGCCCTGTCTCGGGTTATAATGCATCAAGCGTTCGATTTGAGGATGCGGATGCTTGGAGTCTTTCGTGAAGAATGCATCCATGCCTTCGGCGTAGCTAAAAAAAGTGATAGGGTCGGGACCGATGACGCCGGCGACGCCCCTTGGAAAGCCATGGAATCTTATTTTGCAAAATTTCAATAGTTGATCTAGCTTAAAAACGTGCTTTTTCAAATTAGCAAGACCACGAACAGCCTTCACGAATCTTTCAAAATGACAATAAATTAATTTGTTTTGCCGCAATTCGAGTAGGCTGTCCGTGAGTTAGCTCATTTGAAAAAGCACATTTCCTGAATTGGAACTATTTTTTTTAATTGTAAAATATTATTCCATCGCCTTTCCAAAAACTTTTAAAGTTTACATTTCGGGGAATTGCGTTAAAAAATCGTTCTTTTGGAATGGTACAAAGATAATACAAAAGATTAAGATAATACAAACGGCCCATAATAGTAGTTATGATAATTCCGGAAAATCTTAATGCGTGATCATGGTCTGCTGAAAAAATGCTTCCTGGCTTTTCAGATGTAAGGTGATAAGACCTACCTAGTAAACGGGCCAGGCCGCTCTTCGTCCGGTCTGGGCTCCTAGAATCTGGTATTTTGAAAGGCAAAAGCGCTGAGCTTCTGATCTTTTCAACCGAATACCGGAGCGCTTACCTGATCAAACAACGATTTTTCCGGATTCACCACCTCATACTCAAGCCATTTTCTCGGCACTTGTTGGGTCGGCATCACCGCCGCCAATCCACCGTACGTGCCGCCAATTGGCTAAAAGAACTTGGGTTCGAGTTATCTTGAAAAATTACCTTGCAATAATTCACACGACAGTCGCACGAGTGGATCCGCCCCACACCCGGGCTCAGCATCCGCGCGAACACCAGCTTATCCGATTCGACGACGTACTGCAGGAGGACGTCTGAAATAGCAATGGGTTTGAAGGGAAGCCGTTAAACTACCATTAACGCTAACGAAGTACAGTGCGACCGGCGTATAAACACCATTAACCAGGTGTTGACCGCCAGAATATGTTAGGCGACGGTTCGGCACTCGGTCGTCGCCCTCATCGTCGTAGATCTTGACCTCGTGCCTCTGAAACGCCTCACATGGCTCGTGCGCTTTGAAGGGCCATATGAGATTGGGAAATCTATCATATTGACTTGTACGTCTCGCGCCCTTTTCGCTGGGTTCTGGTTCGGGCATCGGGGATCCGATAATTTTGAAGATTTTGCTATCTTTCGAGTCCACTAGGAGGTATCCGATAGAGCATTAAAGTTATCTGAGGAGTTTTAATAGCTAAACATATTGTATTCCCCAATAGTTATAGGAAAATCAAGAACATCCCTTAAAATTGGAAACTTCTGACCCAATTTTCGACAGTAGTGACACCTAGTTTTCGATACTTTCGAAATTTCGCGATATACTACAAGCCATGCAAACACCATACTATGCGTTTGAATTACATCTCAAAAGAATGGGATCTAGGCTAGAAAAGCTCTCGACAATAATGTCACGGTACTAACGATACAGAACCCTTCGCTCTTGGTCAGAACGTGAGAGAATAACAAAGCGTTATGCGTCTCGCTCAGTTTCCCCCTGATAAGGCCATGTGTAAGTGCCAAGCTCAATTTTGCACCGACCGCAGCACATTTTGCTGTTTTTTCAAAAAACTCAATCGTCTGAAACCCACCCTTCCATTCTTGACATTAAAATAGACCAATTTATCATTTGTAGCCATCAGCAGTTGATCCTCGAAAAGTATCATATCCCAGCCCTCGATCGAACCAGGCTTTGTCTAAACTGCTTCGTCAAATTTAGTTATTTGTAGAACCGGCTGCCACGGGAATTCCGTCTTCTTCGCTCCTTCCCATGAATAATAGGTGATGGTGTTCGAGCCTTGGATGTGGAAGGCACATCCGTGGCTGTAGACGCAGGCAATATTAACACGTGTATCGCCCCTAAAATGGTTTTTTTTGAGGAGAAGCTTTGCAAAAATATATACGGCGTGCGTTAGACTTACGGTTCGTAAGGTAAGATGGTGAAGTCGTCAACCTTCGGTTTCTTACTTTGAAAATTGCTGAGAATATAGGACGTCGGGCCGCATAGCTGAAAGTAAATTTCATGTAGTTTTAAAGGTAAAAGCAGCTTTTGCCAAAAATTCCAGGAAAAATTAAAACTTACATTTAACTCATCTCCGTTGACCACAAATTGGGCATTTAGGGGCAAATCATGGCATCGTGCCAAGTTCGGGACCCATTCAATAACTTTAGTGTGTGGTGTCACGGCGCGTTCGCTAAAAAATTGCTAAAAATGGGTTGGAAAAGTGGATACCGATTATATTAGCTCAATAAGTGTTCTGCAAGGCGAAAAATGGCAGTTATAATCAATTTACCTGCCCAAATCCGCGATCAGCGCCTCAAGCTTGTCGAGTATCACATATTTTAAGCACCGCGAGACCACAAGTAGCTTTGGTCCTAAAAATATTGAGGTCGTGGTGATAGTTTAATTATTGCGATTTACCTTTTAACACGGTAATCTGAATTATCTCTTGCCCATCCTCGAATATTTTGAGCAAATTTTGACGACAAATGTGGGCGGGCAGCCGGAGGGATTCCTCGACGTCTCTGTGAAATTCGATGTAATGCCCGATTCCTGATTAAATTTTATTGACTCGCCTTGTAAATTACCCGATACTACATAAAGGTTGTCGACCGAAAAGAATAATGTGCAGACGGCTGTTCTCGGAAGCAGGCAAGGCGGAAATCTCGTAACAGGTTTTTCTGCCATATTTCTGAACGCGGGCCCTAAAATTTGGGATGCTCAAATTGAAGAATCCCTTTGTTGGGCAGAAGAGAAAAGATGCCGAAAAACAAGGGGAATAAGCGATTTTAGCGAAATCAAGGACTTTAATACTTGCCCGCAGGCCATTTGAGTGGCTGCCGCTTTGCTTACGCGTTGTAAATAGACATAGCCCTGTTTCTCCCCACTCGCCATCTGCTCCTTCGGTGCCCCAAGAAAGATACATCCCAACCCCGCATTCGCGACAAGCGGCGTGTCGCAAAGATTGATATACGAATGGGAAGCTCTCAAAGGCGAGAAGCTTTGGTTTAGAACGTCGTTATCAAAATGTCAGTGCGATCCTCAATTTTATAAGATTCAGCTTAATTGAAGCAGTTTTTACTGATAAGCAAATTGCTTCAATACACCTGACAAGGGAATCACCTAACAAGGAGTGCTTTTTTTGAGTCATCGGCAAAACCTTACGAGTCCTAGCGCATTCGATAGAGAATTTAATTCTGAGCAAGACTCCGTTGTTCTTTTTTGCAGAATGGCTATCCCTGATTTTATAAAATTAAAACACTAGTGACCGTACTTACCATGAGTGCCTTTCGAGCAAAACGAAAGGCTTTTGGGTGCAGTTTTAAAATTTTATAAAATCAGGGAGAGCCATTCTGCAAAAAAGAACAACGGAGTCTTGCTCAGAATTGAATTCTCTATCGAATGCGCTAGGACTCGTAATGTTTTGCCGATGACTCAAAAAAAGCACCCCTTGTAAGGTCGAGGTGGCCTTTCGTTATGGGACGTTACGAAGTCCATTCTTTTTCGATTTCCAACAATTTTGAGTTAAATAGCTCATTCGATAGAGAAAAATTTTCTGAATACGATGGCGATATTCGTTTTTGATGAATCAGCCGGGAAATGCAACATAAATGGCTTAGAAGTTGGCAAATTTGGGAAAAAATGGAACTTTGAAGCGCTATAACTTTTTAAAATGAGCTATTTGGCAAAAATGAACAGCTGATTCGGAATCAGCAAAAAATTCTGCACAAACTGGGTCGGGTCCCATAAAGAAACGCCACCTCGACCTCGGGTGGTTCCCTTGTGAGTCCTGTCAATAGGCGTAGAAATTCGAAAGATTACTTTTCAAAAGAAGATAGGATGGGGGGGGGATAAAGTTCAGTCAGTCATCCTAATATTTTAGATTACTGTGTGATTTGGAAAGTGCCATTTGCTTGAAAGTCAGAAAATATAATAAAAGAATTATTTTCAGCACGAAAAAATGCAATATAAAAGTTCACTCGCTAAAAATTTTGATTGAAAATTTGTGATCATGTAGGTTCCTACATGTGTGATGTGATCCTTGTCATCCTACTTTCGGCATTTTGAAAATTTTCGATATCTTGAAATCGCCACTCGATAGAGAGCCAAAAATAGACGAAAGGTTTTTCATAGTCCGAATAAACCATTTTTTCAAACTATTTTTATTGTAAAAAATTGAGCTCCCACGGCAGTTCACTTTATTGTTTTCCCCCTGATTACAGAAGCGATTATTTGAGTCTGTATCCAGTGACCGGCGCGTATTCTCCTTATAACTTATGCATTCTGATAACGACAATCTAGAGATCCTTTATTCGCAAAAGTACCCATAAAGCACCAGTATCATGTTTTGGCAGAGTCCGAAAATTCCGCTCTACACTCGATTTACTGTTCCGTCATCAGGCACGAACAGACCCGGATGATGCGAAGACACGACAACGTGTGCGCGACCGCATGATTCCTAAAAGCACAAATCATTTGTCGCCAATTACCTACAGCAATATTGGGCAAATTTTTGCTTTTTTGCAACTGTCGTCCATCAGGCCAGTGGTCGGGAAGAAATTCTAAGAGAATCATGGACTTCTGAAGCTTTTCAGTCACCTTGGTTCCGTCGGACTTTTTTGCGAGCACCCAAACAAACTCTTCGCCCCGCTGATGTAGAAAATAGCACGGGCCTAAAAATAGTAGGTCTAGGGCATAAAAATGGTAAATAAAGCTATTAATCAGCAACCCACCTTTACAAAAAGCTGGCGGCATCGGTCGGGCTGTATCGGTGCTCCGGACTTTTACATTGACGACGTTCTCTTGATCCAAAAACTAAATTACATTTTTAGCAAGATTCTAATAGCTGCTAATACCGATATCGTCCTGCCATCATAATCGAAATTTTTACAATGTGGCACTCCCTGAATAAAATCGTTCAAAGAGGATTAAAACTTTACCTTGGTGAAAGCGAATCTGATTTTGTCCATATTCCAGTACGCGTATTTCTGAAAGACAAATTTTAATCCATTGGGCAAGCAGACCAGATAATTGTCGTATTCTTGCTCCGCATAATAAATTTCGAGATCGACCAGCTTTGTTTGTGGCGAGCGCTTGACGGTCATCTAGATTTTATCGTCCCGGATGGTCAATATTCACGTCAACGCTACCTGAAAGCTCGAATCCTTCGGCTTGATCTCCTTCATGACCACGGCTTCGTGGCGGTTGATGCAGGTGAGATCGGCTCCTAGTTCCATTAACCATTGCCTAAAAAGTGTTTACAAAATTGTTGAACTTGTGCCTACCCGGCACGCGTATAGCCCCAATGTTCATCACAGCCGCACAAGCAGTCCGCCACCTTACTGTGGACCATCTCCAGGTAGTACAGATAGAAACGCCCGTCGGCCATTTCCGACTAAATATGAGGGTCTCACCACCTTCGCGTACCGAATTTAACAGTTTTAAATTTAATAAACGCTGTATTTTATAAAAATGGACCATGCTGCTCCTACGAAGAAAACTCAACCCGAAAGTCTTTTGTAAAGTTGGAGAAAATTTTGCAAGTTCGGATTTGCTTGGAAATCGTCGTGAGATACCCTAATGTACACCACGTACCAAGAGCGCTAGTAGAGAGATTCGATGCACTTGCGAAAGCCCTCTTGGCCGCCTACCACAGCGGCCCGGATCCTAATAAAACGTCCGGTAGCTTTGGAAAGGAAGGAAGACCGCAACGCGTGCGATAGGCGCGTCGCGCAATTGCGAAAGCGGGCCTGCGCAGCTAAAAACCGGTTGCTATTCCGCGCACCCGCACGCATGGCGCGAAAAACACGTACAGTACGCCCTTTCCCTTGAACCATCCGGAACGAACCCATGGGCGGTTGTGCTACCCAGGATCGCTACGAACAGCTCCTCCGCGCACGGCACCCTGTGCGCCGGCCTCGGCCCACGACAAAGCCCATTTTCGGGCGCCTAAACCCGATCTTCGACTTTTCCTAATTTTAGATAGGGGCCATGCTAAGGCGTGACCCGGTTTGAGCAAGTTTCAAACACAATGTTGCTTCAATCCGATAAATCAGATCATTTACCGTTTGCGGGATGTAAATATGTTCCGAGCTTGGCGGGGCGCAAGTTCTGATACGCCTCAGTATGAGCACCTCCGGAACGGACGGGTCTAATAAGGGATCAGCGAAATACAGCACGATTCACCTTCCACATTGCCTTTGATCATGAGCTCGAGCACATCCATAGTGCCCGACCCCACAAGAATGAGTGCCGCCACCGCAACCCGTACCCCATTCACAGTTTTCGTCTGCGCCTACAAGGATGGCTTTTCAGTACATCTGATTCATTAACTACCATTGCAAGACCTCCATCGTGACACTTTTCTCCACCATGCTCATTTGCAGCTGTCAATAGCTCTAATAATGTTGTAAGCTATTTTCATTACTGCCTCACCGGTTTCTGGCTGGTAGACGAGCAAGGTTGTGCGGAAGACGCCGATGGCAGCTATCTGGAACGTTCACTACTTGGTTTAGTGTTAAAAATGGGTAGTCCTGTGAATCTCCACCAACCAAGGTGAAGCCCAATGCGTCATATGGTGCCGCAACAACTTTCAGCATTGGATGCTGAATTAGTGCCGGTTGTATTGTTTCCACCGCATCTCGCACCAGCGCTAGGGAACTCTGAAAAAATTGTAGATCATACTTTTTAAAGTGATGGGAAGCTGGAACACCCACGGGCACCGGAATCCGAGAAATCTTTTGGTGATTTTTTATTGATTAAAACGTATTTTTAAAAACCTGCGAAACAAGCATATTTGAAAAATTACAAAGCTTTCAATTGTAGATGCTCAAATAGCCGGGTATGGCAGTTTTTCACCCTGAACGCTTCATAACTTCCTTTTTGTGATCGGTTCTCATGAACTCCGATTTGGATCTCGGTTCTTTCGGTTTTTTCATGATTCTGGAACGGTTTTGATCCGCAAAAGATACTGGACAAGATGGGAGTAACTCGGTGGACACTCGAAAACGCCTCCTTGCTAGTATTGATAAATAGGTATCGAATGCCGAAGTTACGCTCACCCATTCATCATTGCCTTTCAGAACTATCAGTCTGGCGTTCGAGTCGTGGTCTACATGACTATAAATAAGGTATTGTGAGCGGAACGCTCTTCGACTTACACTCCAAAACTGAGATACATGGCTGGGTGCAATTCATCCAGGTCATGCGGACTTGATGATAAGCGTGACTTCGCCTCGTAGTCGTAGATTACGGGTGTGAAACCTGCCTAAAGCGTATCATTAGGAAGCGTAAGCTGCAGTATCGAAAGAAAAAAGATACTTTAAAGTTTAAACCCACCTCTTTTCTTGGCGCTGTTGCCCAGCCGAAGACCTGAAATGGCGGATATGGAAATCAAGAAAATTCTTACCAAGCAACGTTTTGCAGGATGTGGCAGGAAATACTTGGCCTCTCTCAAACCGGGAATCCCATCAAATCTCAGTTGATGGAAGAGCAGCCTCCCTGATTCGCAATTTTTAAGCCATAGAGTTACTTACCATCTTTTAGGAACCAACCGCATGTGAGCACGTAGGGCCCATGCATCAACAACAGTATTTGCTGCTTCTCGTAGTCGCATTGCATGTCAACAAAGTCATAAAACCTAGGAGTAACGTATTTTTGGTAAGGATGAAAATTCGAGATGAGACCCAGCCTATCATGTGCAGAGTTTTTCGCTGATTCAGAAGCCGTTGTCACAACTAGAGAATAGCTTTATTCAAAAGGTTTGAGCACATCTTAGAATATTTATGTACCGACTTTAAGACCCTACCAGGGTTGAAAAACCGCTTCGCGGCTTTTCAACCCTGGTCCCCTCAAGGACCTATGAAAGTATTGCCTTGCATAATTCTTGCCGGAAAACGATCAGCAAAATGAAAACCACGCCCCCTCTTCCTTTTTATAAGCCGTATCCACTTCCGGCGTATGCTAATTCTTCCCTAACAAAGACGGAAGCCAAGATTTTTACACAAGCCTAATTTTAATAGCGAAAATGGCGATTTTTCAAAGATTTTATGTGTGTGCAGTCGATTCCCGCCCCTTCTTTACCCTATAACTTTTCTTCCCTACCGAAAAAAATGCTTCCCTGAGGCTGTAGGTGCGGATCATCCAAAAGGAATACTAAACAAGCTTTTTCAGAAAAACGTAGCAAAAAGTTTATCAGATCCATCACCAGAAAGCCCGCTGATTATTGCTAAGGAAACGGCGCTAGACAATGCTGATTTCCCCTTTTACAATTTTTACAGCGGCTTACATGTGCAATTTTAAGTCCCAAATTCTTTAACATGTCCCGTAAGTTTCGAAATAAGGCTTTTCTGCAATTTTTGAAAACAGGTTCATGATCACCGAAAATTTGGCGCAAAATAGGCTAGGTCTTATCTAAAATTTCCATCCTGACCAAAACACCTAAGCTCTTCAAAATTAGAAACAACACGCGTTCTTCGGCCTCTTAATCTTTGCAGATTTTTTCTGAACGAATTAAACTGACTAAAAAAGAATTTAACTCTTGAAATTTGTCTGACTCTCACTTTCAATAGTTAAATGGCTTACGCTGGCTGCTGCGCCGCTCTAGTATCAGTAAACGGCATCCACGTCCCTTTTCCCTTCGACGGTCCATATAGCAGGCCGGACCTGAGATCCTGAATTTCGTAACATCCACTTTTGTTACTGTGTAAGAGCCAGAAAATATTCTTGATCGTCGATGAGGAGAAACGCGGTTTTCACCATATGATCATTTACATAGCCTCTTTCCCAAAAGAACTTCCACGTTTCGAGCTCATATTTCGGCGCCCGTTGAGCGTGGCACTAAAAATTCAATTGTTTGGAGCCAAGACCGGCTACCACGAAGCTGACTTTTATGAACCCGTGCTTCACCAGAGCCATACGATTTTCCAGCAAAGCTGCATCGCCGTTGTCCCTAAACGTATTGTCTAATTTTTGGTCTTTTTTGTGCAACCCATATCGGAAGGGCAATCTTTAAGCAAGCGGACGTTTTTGAGTGTCGTCCGGCTCTCCTGATGGGACTATCTGGTGCAGAATTTTGCGCTGGTTCCGAATCCGGTTACCGTTTCTGAGGAATAGCCATTTGTCTAAGTTTATGAACGGTTTAAAACTAAGAATCGCAAATCGCATAGCCTAGTGGACATAAAAGGCCTCGTGTTATGTTTTAGAAAGAAATCAGCCCACTCACTTCACTTCAAGCAGGAAGCAAATTACTCAAACATTTTGAACCCAAGCCAATTTACTCAAATATTTGCAAAATTTTATTAAAATTTCTTCACAAAAATTTTATTTTCAAATGTATCAACTTTTTGCATTTTAAAACTTTTTGAACCAAATGAAACGTCGTTAGAGAATTTTTTTCTAAACAAGATGCATTTGCTGATTTTTTCTACGAGCTGCGATGAAGCCTCTCCCGAAAGTTGCCGAAACTAAACCTTTTAGCCTTAAAGCATTTAAGAATTTAGTGAAATTGTTATTCCGCAAAAACCATGCCCATATTCGGAATCAGCGCCAAATTTACGCGTTGGGGCATCGTCTCATCCTGAAGTCCGGACGACACTCAAAAACGTCTTATGTAACTTTCAAGGTCCCCGCTGCCCAGAGACAGTTACAGGTAGCAAAAAAAGTAACGTACCCAGCGTCGGCGGGGCGGTACACATCTGGAGGTTGTAAAAAGAGTCCGTCCGCATTCGGCACGTCCAGTACCACCTTACCGCCCACATAACCAAAGAAGCCGATGGCTGGAGGCTCGACTAAAAGCGCGTTTATCTTTTGCCGACGGTGATCACCTGGTTTATCCTCCGAGGTGAGGTCGAATCTTTCATAGGTCACCCGGCCATCAGCGTGCAACAGCACCACGAGTTTAGTGCTAACATTCACCGCCAAGATTCCCCTGTAAGTCCCAGGCGCGTCAGATCGAAAATCATTCGGTGCTTGAGCAAGTTTGCGCAAGGATGTGCTCTTGACCAGCGCCTGCGCTAACCGCCTGAAAAAGGATGTTGTTGCCCTGAACACTACAGGGTTTTTGAAAAAATCGCGCCGCAGACGCGCATTTGGTATCTTTCGAAAGCTACCGACAAGCTCAGGGGATATGCTATTTTCGATTATTTATGCCAAAGTTGCACTTGAAACTTAATTTAACCGGCTGTCTTTTGTCAAATAGCTTTTAAAAAGCTGTCATTGAGCTGTCGCGAAGGACAAGCCTCAGAAATTTGGTTCAAATTTTTACATTCCGGAATCTTGTTATAATGATAAATCTGTCTTAAAAAATCCACCGCATTTTTTATACTAATCCGATAAAGAGGTTTTTTTTACAAAATCACAATCGATGAATCCAAACTATAGATTTTTGAAAGCCATGTGAGAACTTACAGTTGGGATGGCGCTTAAGTCGATTAAATTGAGGTTTTTGACAAAAAAAGCATGCTTTGACATTCAAATTACGAAAATCGAATTGCTAAAATCGAATAAAACATATCCCTTCCGCTTGTCCAAGCTTTCGATAGATACCTAATTTGTAAAAATCGCACATTCTGAGACCGAAATTGAGAATCCGATCGATTCAAAAAGCATAGCCTACCCGTTATGAATCCAGAGCACTCTATCCCCAGCAACGAAGACCTGAATTTGCGGTTGGCAAATTTCCGCGAACCTTTAAGAAATACCTCTTTGAGATTTTCGGCATTCAAGTCAACAAAGTCGTGCATGCTGCCGCATTCGATCGGCTTTGTTGCGCCCGAGAATACTTTAGACACATTTATTTTCGTCGTCCCCCATGTTCCAGTGACTATCTAAAATACTTTCGGGTCTTCCAAACAATGCCGTCCTCACTATATACTCATTTCCGATCAGTTCCCAGGCCTTGATAACTAGGATGCCGGGGTCGCAATCCCATACCAAGTTCAGCTTCAACTCGCCGTCGACACATTTGTAGGCTTGAATTCGATCTGAAAAACATAAGCGAGTGGGTTTTGAAACCAAATTTTTCTCTGTGATTTTCTACGACTCTATGACAGACTATAATCCATTTTCATAGCATTTTACATAGTTTTTTAAATATAAACCAATGTAAAATCGGTAAAAATTTTCGAAATTTTTTTGCTTTTTGCTCAAAACGTCCAAAAAGGTGCTTAAAGGGTCAAATTTTCGAAACTTCAAAATTTGGAACTTTCTTGTAAGATCCTACTATCCTACTATATATAAAAAAATAGTGTTTGTGTGTGTGTGTGTGCATTTGCATGCAACTTCCGTCCGTATGTTCCAGTCGTATTTCAATAGGGGAGGAAGTTATGGGTACGTAGGATACGTCATTAGGTGCGTAATGATCATGACACGACTGCACGCATAGGAGATTTTGAAAAAACAGCCGTTTTTGATATTAAAATGAAGTTTTTCTGAAAATCTCGCTCAGCCGCTTTGTTAGGAATGAATTAGCATGCACCGGAAGTGGAGGATGGCTATAGAATGGCGGAGAGGACGCGCTTTTCATTTTTTTTTTGCACAGGAATCCAGGAGTTTATGCAAAGTGATGAAGCATGGGGGTTAGACGGGGGCCAGGGTTGAAAAGTCGCGAAGCGGCTTTTCAACCCTGGTATATAAAAAAATAGTGTCTGTGTGTGTGTGTGCCACTTTGCATGCAACTTCCGTCAGCGTGTTCCAGCAGTATCCGAAGAAGGAGAGTAGTTAGGGCATGTTTGATACGTCATTAGGAGCGTAATGGTCTGGAGATGACTGCACGCATATCAGATTTATCAAAATAGCCTATTTTCGACATTAAATTTTAGTTATTGTTGAAAAATCCGAGATCCTCTTTGTTAGGAATCAATTAGCATACACCGGAAGCGCGGGTAGCCTATATAAAGGAGCAGAGAACGCATTTTTCACTTTTTTTCAGCATGGGTCGGGCCAAATTATGCAAAGTAAAAACTTTCATTGGTCCAAAACGGGGCCAGGGTTGAAAAGTCGCGAAGCGGCTTTTCAACCCTGGTGATATGTTAAATTTATAAATTTTTGGAACTTTCTATGATAAAAAACTACTAAAAACACTATAAATTTACCAAACAGCAGGTAGATGAAGGTAGGAAAACCAAAAGTTGTTTTCCCATCTTCCTAACCTCCCCCCGCCCGATAAAAGTCCAGAACCCGGTTTTTATTTATTCCCCACTGACCGAAATCCACGATGAATACATAATCTGCTGCGCGTCCCTCTTCATCGATGGTACGTCGAATTCGCATCTTTTTCAGTGGCCATTGCGGTGTGCTCGTGTTTGGATCTTTAACGCGGAGCACGACAGAATTTTTCTAAAAAATATATTTGCGGTGTCTCAAAACTTAGTTGGGCAAATACCGATCGCAAATTCTCAAATTGGGCGCTAGATTTCTTTCACATTTTGCCAATTAGCACACCCGACCCCCAAAAATTGGGTAAATCCGGCTTTAACTTTGTAAAGTTGTATTTTATCCAGCATTTATAATCGTCATCTGAACGAGGAGGGCCGATTATACCGGGAGACGGCGACGTAAGGAATTTTATACACTGAAAGGCGCTCATATTGGGCCTAGAAGCCGACATCCATAAATAAACGCAGCGAGCTAGACGCAAAAACTCTATAAAATACGATACTATGCTATTTAGACAAATTACTTCTCAAATAGTGCCTGCGCTAAATAAAAATATGCAGGCCGCTAAAATTGAAAGCGCGCAGCTGCCGATGTTTCGCACGGGGTAAATAGAGGCGCCGTTTCTTCGGAAAAGTTTTTTTGGGGCTAGGCCCATTTGGTTTACACGCCGTTGAATTTTCAGTGTTTCTTCAAGCTTGAATTTATATTATTCAGGATTTATATCACCGGATTTGTGTTTTCTTGACCAACCTCTTTTGTCGTTAGATTATAGCAGTGAAATTCCGTGCCTCTCAAAAAGTAGAGCTTCTCATGCGATAAAGAAATGTCCGAGTGTTCGTCCTCCTCAGGTTTTAGTGACTAAAAGTTTTCAAATAAGTTTAACACAGATCAAAACTGAAATATTTGTACCTAGCTGAATTTGTCAATATGTTAGTATTAAATTTCAAATGGAACTCACCAGCGGCGCGGGCAGCCGATCTTTCTTGCCTCCACAAACAATCTCAACAAATAATCCACCAGCTTCGTCCTGTGAGCCATCAAAGTATGCATACAATTCATCTTCATCGCTGCCCGTGGCAAGGTATGTTGTTTTCCATCTAAATTTCGTCAAGACTTTACTTTACCCCCCCCCCGCCCGGGCCGGAAGTTCCCAATAATTTTTCGCCATAACTTTTTACTTTACTGTACTTGGGGCTGTGATTCAAACGCTTCGTATATTTTTTTGATGCTCTATCGAATGGCGAAGTCTAAACCGCGGCAAAATAGCGGAATTTTTTAGGAATTTCTGGCTAGGGGACAAGGTACGTTCGAGCCTAAATTTCAAACAGGGGTGTCGATATTGCTTGGAACTTACATTTTACCCGTATCCTCTGCGCGCAGGTTTTTAACGGTGATTTTAGCCACCGCCGGTTCAAAGATATTTGTGATAGACATCGACAGGCAGCCATGACACTGCAAAAATTATCAAATTTTTCCTGAAGCGCCGCTCTATTATACTCCCCGGGCTGATAGAAATAAGCGTTTTCACGCACTGCAATGGTTTTTAGGGGCTTTTGGAATTCCGCGGGCTCTGATCCGTTACAGGTTGAAATTTGAACAAATCACAGCTTCCAAAAATTGCTGAACGGTTACGAATTTAGAGCAGATTTGCTCTAAAACGAGCCGAATTTGTACATTTAGGCAATTATCGAATGTTCAATGTCACATCACAAACTAGAAGGGCTCCTAAAACGACCCCTAGTAAGTTTTATTAAGTTGTTCTAAAATTGGTCAGAGCCGATCCTTGTTTTTTTGCAAGGTCTAACGCACAGAAAGCTTCGATTCACGCTCGGAAAATCGCCATTCGGCGTTTAATGGCGATCTCCATGCAGACACATCAAGTAGTTTATTCTGGGAGCCGAGCGCCATCACGTCGACAACGGTTTTCCATTCTGTGGCCCTTAAAAAGTTCAGTGAGTCTCTGCCGGCGTTCTAATATTAAATTTTTTTGTAAAAATTAGACATGCCTTTCTCCCTTCACATCATCAACTAGTTTCGCGAAATTGATAATAATATATTTAGGAGAATAGGTTATAAGAAGGATACATGGACCTGAAAACGACCAAATTATATGATGGATTCCTGTAATAACAATATATAAAATATATAATAAATGCCTTTGAAAGGAGCATGATATGGAATCACGATGATTTGCTCAATTTCTTCACTACCACACAGAATCCGATATAGCCGCCCTTGTGTTTGACGCTTTGCGAATTTTCCCTCCGCCAAATGGCCAATTTCCAGACAATTTTCGATCGCTAAATTATATATTTGATCGTAATAAAATGATGTAACACACCGGCCACAATCCAGGTAGTGTCGTTAAATTCAACAACATTAATAGCGGTGCGAGCCGACAAAATTGGCGGCACCCGACATCCAGACATTTATTTGTAGTTTCTAGTTTTGAAAATAGGTTTAAAAATGGTTTTCAGAAATATATAGTATAGAATACGAGCTGAAATACAAATGGTGCAAGGCTTACCCCATGCTTACAACCGCGCGTTGGCAAGATGCCTTAACAGCTGTGCCCCCGTGTGTGTTTTATTGCATAAGCGAATCTTCGGGGGTGTGGACAGTTGGGGTCAGGGTAAGAAACAAACATGGCTACATGTCGAGATCGGATCAAAAACGTTTAATCCAATTAACAATAACGGCAGGTTTTTTTAAACGGGATCTAATTTTTGCAGTGCCTCCTTTTTGCCGAGTCGTTTTGCGAAAACCTCGTCTTGGGAATTTTGTAGAAAATTGATAAAACCAGAGTTCATGGTATTTTATTGTATTCAAAAGTCCGATAATTTATCAGGTTTTCACTAATATTTTTTTCAGAAATTCGAATTACAAGTCCCAATATTTGCAGTGGTTTGAAACGGTTAGAAAAACATTGAAAAATTTGCTAACAAGGGAAGTGCACGACCGGCCCACGAGAATTCGACACGAGACATAGTGGATCTGATAGAATCGGAGACGGGGATTCCGAATCTGTAATCAGAATTTGCTAAATAAAACGGAGAAAAAAGTTATGAAGCATCAAAGTTGGCCAAATCGCCGAAAACGGTACCGTTAAGGGCCCGTAAAAACCGGGGAAACGGAATTGAGGAGAAAAGAATTAGTGCATCTTGTTCAGCAAAAAAAGCGCTTTCGAATGAGCTGTAATATGTAGCATTTGCAAACAATTCACTGAAAAAAGTTTTTTTGGATTGATGGGCAAGGGTATGGCCTGTCAAGTTCATAGAATAGATTTCCGCGAAATCATCGTAAACTTGAAGTAAGATAGCTCATTCGAAAGCGCTTTTTCTGCTGAACAAGATGCACTAATGGGTTGTGGCAAATTTCCATTCCCTGGGCCTTTACAGGCCCATAAAAGTCCGATTTTGGGCGATTTTACCAACTTTGAAGCTTCATAACTTTTTTCTCCGTTTTATTTAGCAAATTCTGATTACAGATTCGGAATCCCCGTGTCCGATTCTATCAGATCCACTAGGTCTCGTGCGGATTTCTCGTGGGCCGGTCGTGCACTTCCCTTGTAAGCCTGGTAAATACGGTTTAAGATATGGATAAATTTAATAAATTGATTTTGTATATTTAACTGTGAGAGAGAGAGAGACAGAGGGAAAGAGACAGAGAGAGACAGCGAGAAAGGCACAGAGAGAGAGGGAGTGAAAGAGAGAGGGTGAGAGAGATAGATAGATAGACAGCGAGAGAGAATGAGCGAGAGAGAGAGTGAGGGGAGCGAGAGAGAGAAGTTTAGGCTTAGGATTAATATTAGAGATATTGAAGTTTATGAGATTCAAAAACTGGAATTTTTCATATGTTCCACGAAACTAATAAAACGGAAAGCGCAACGTAGTGATCCCCATAATCCACAAAAAAAATTAAAGATTGTACTTTATTCGTAGACAGACATATGCAATCGACTCGGGACAGTAATACACGATTCACAATCAGTAAGGCAAACACGCGAGTAATGTTTAATAGTTAAGCGAGTGGTTGAGGGAGGGGGTACTGTTGGTTATGTGTGGCTCGTCGTCAGGTCGCACACCTCCTCGTAGCTCGACGATTCGCCCGCGTTGCGCGAGAAGAGGCGCGACCAGTTGCGGGAGGCGCGCGTCCGCGTGCAGCGCAGCCGGCGCACCGCCAACGGCTTCGTGTACTTGATGCGGCAGGGCTGAAAATGCGAGATAAGTATAGTAAAAGTAGGTTCTTTGGAATTTTGAATTGTTTCCGATGCCTAGACTAACGCCTAGTATAGTTTATAGTTTTTTAGTAAAATTTAACCAAATCCTCAGCGAAAGAAAACTACTTAAAAAATTTCAAAACATAAAAACCTTAAAATTTACTCACAACGTCATTTTTTTTGGTATTTTTCCAAGTGAATATTTCATAGTTTTGAGACTTATAAACACGAACTCGAAACGTAATTTATTTATGATTATGTTACGCGAAGGCTACGGGAGCTTCCCTATTTATGCCTGCAACCCCTCCCCCGATATTGCAAAAACTCCAAAACGGCTGCGTCACCTTATTCCCAGCGTGCGGCTCGTGCTCGGCGTAGAGGGCGGCGGCGCGGGCCATTTTGTGGTAGTGATCGGGGCTGGAAATATAGGGGATAAATCTTGGTCAACTCGGGGGATTTTTATTCTTGACGGCTGCTCTGCTCTCCCTAGGCCTATAGGAGTGTAATGTATACCAAATTGTACGTCTTGGTCTGACGAGTATTTTGGGATACTTTACGACTCTATAGGCCACAATGAAGCCGGCCCGCAAGCTACCACGCCTCCTGAAAGTGATCAACGTGGACCAGGCTCTCGACTGCGAACGAGGTGGAGGGCGGGCTGCTGCGACGGGTCACCAACGACCCGGCCGAGGACGGGATCTCGAGCAGCGTTTCTGGAACATCCGAATCGACAAGTTCAGCCACCGCCGCTACCGGTGTGGTACCGCCGACGATAGAGCGATGGGCGAAAGGGAGAAGCCGTGTACATCGACTCCGTCTCAACGCTGCTGCTCTCCACGTCTTCCGGTTCTGAATTCACGCAGTAATACGATAATGGTTCATTTGCATCCCCACATAAGTTGCTTCAAGCCAGCTCATAAGCTACCTGTGTCGGACTCCGTGAAGTCGTCCGGCTCCAGGGGCTCCTGCTTGGTGGAGAGCGCAGTCGGGAATAGCGTCGAGGAGGCAGCGCGTTTCAGGCTTGCCTAAAAAAACAGATTTGGAGAGTAGTGGTAGATTCGAGAGCTTCAACCTTAACTTAGAGATATAAAATTACCATCTTGTTGCGGAGCCGCTTGGGGACGAGCCTCTGAAGGATATTCAGCGGCATCGAAACAGCTGTGTCGGGGCCAGTAAAATGAGAAAATGGTATGATTTTTTGAGAATCCCAATTTTTTTTTGGAAAAGCGGATATACAAATTGGCGCATGGTAATTTATGGGTTTAGTTGACCCCCGGTTAGCCTAACTTTTGTAACACGCCGCTAGTTTGCGCTACGGATCTCTAAAGTATACCATAACCTTCGCCGATATCTAGTAAGAGCAATAGTAAGCAGTAAGAATATATTACAAATTGAGTCGAAAAATAGCGAAAAATAAAAAGAAATGGCAGCCAAAGGCCAAAATAACGGCTGCGGGGGTGCTAACTCGATTTTAGGTATTAATTTTAATGCCTCCTTAATTCGAATTTTTCGCATATAATTTAAAATAAGCAGTTGGTGCATATCAAATGCCCTTCAATAGAGGAAATTACTTTTAATGAGCAAAAAATTGACAAGACACCATTGAGGGTAAATGAGGTAGGATCACGTGGTGTAAAGCTGGCAAATTGAGGTAAGGAGATAATTGAGATCTGAAGATACAGAAAAAAAATTGAGGCCAAGCAATGTATAGCAAGGCTACCCAAACAATTATGCAATCAATAATTAAAAAATTGCGCAAAAATAAAGTTAGAACACAGAAGTTCAAGCAGATCAAAGTTTTTCCTTTGTCAAACACGGGCCCGCACGGACGATTTGAAAATATCGATCGCTATACACCAGCGCATGGTTTCTATATAAATGTATTAAGTATAAAAAACGTATAAAAACTAGTGTTATTTCTTAAAATCTTAGCATAAAAGTTCTTTTTAACTACATCTTTTTGACCCACCTAAGAATTGGTAGCCATTTCCTGAGCCCATATCTTTTGGCCCGCGCCGTTAGCTGTTTATCGACAAAGAAATTCTAAATTTCGATAATTTTGCGAGAGTAGATTCCGGAATTACCGGTTGTCCGTTGTACTTTTTAGCAGCTAGCCAGCCGTATTTTTCGGCATCTTGGTGAAGGAAGTAGGTAGGGCCTGGATAGATGTTTACGAAATTTATGGATCTATCTGTCCATTTTACGGTCCCAGCTGTAGTTCTTTTGCATTAAAATCAAAAAACCAACCCTTAGACGGCTTATTCAAATCCTTGTTCGTACTGTCGACCTGCCTTGAATTGAACGTAAAATGATCGCCTTGGCGCTTAACCTAAAAAAGACATGTTTATGACAACCAAAATTCAGCAACCGAGAGCAGTTTCGAGTCGTATTCGAACGATTCAAATGCTTCCACCTCCTTGTTGAAGACAATTTCCGGTGATTTTAGGTCCCACGTGGCCATTTTCTAGAAAAGAAATTTATATTCACTTGATCCCATGTTTAAACCCACGAATTTCGACCGGTTCGAGGCGCCGAAGGGTCGGTAATAAATGTCGAGACTAGAAATGCCAGAGGTCGTTGTTTTAGACGTCATCTAAACATCATGCTGGGTTTTACTCTATTATACCTTGAATTGCTGGTACGGCATAAAGATGTCTTTACAGGTGGCCACTGGGAACGGTCGCCATTTCGGCAACGTGGTAATCGACTCGGAGTAGAAGATTACCATCCTGGAATCATGGGCTTATGGTATTTAGCATTCTTTTCTTACAAGGGAAGGGCACGCTCACAGGGTGGAGTTTCGAAAAACGCTCGCGGCTACCCCCGGGTAATCGACTACGGAGAACACGATCTCACGGCAATGGGGTCGGGTAATCGCGGCAGGTCGGAAAAATAAAATTTGCAAAAAGGTTTTTGTTTGTTCGCTAAACGTTTCATACGGCATCAAGAATGACTTTTGACACGTTTAGACAAAGTTCTGGACTTGTACAAAAAAATTGTCAAAAGGCAAAACGAAAAAATCGTGAGAGGATCCGTACCCTGGTCACTATCCTATGAAGCTAGTTGCTTACCACTCGGCCATTCAACTGGTGGTTCCACACTAATGGGAGACCCTAATAAGGCTTCCCCCGAATGCTAATTTTTCGCATGCAAATCATCATTTTCCGGAAGTGCTGTATCTCTGTCCACAGTCCTCCGTAGCAAAATCGGACAGCGGCATCGTGTTCTCCGTAGTCGATTACCCGGGGGTAGCCGCGAGCGTTTTTCGAAACTCCACCCTGTGAGCGTGCCCTTCCCTTGTTAGCTACATTGAATTTAGCAGCTTAAAAACCTACCCAACTTTTATCGTCGTGCTATCAGGCGTCGCATCCAAAATAAAGTATATTACGCACTCGTTCTCGGGACCCTCCTGCAAAAAACTGAAAGTCGAAGAACTGGAAAGGAACTACCTGATCGGGGATGTAAATCTGCCGTACTCTCGATCCCACCCAGAAGCCGAATCGGTGCGCGATCGGTGCTTCCGGACGAATAGTCTCCCTCGACCGATTGCTCCAGCCGGGCCAGTCGACTAGAAAAAGTACGCTCACAATCGTGTCCTTTTCGAGTCATCCGAAAAACGGCATCCTCTACATCCCGGTAGCACCATGCGGAATGAAAATATCGCTGAAAAACCCAACAACTTACATTCCGAATCGCCTTTCACGATGACCTGCAACACTTCAATCTCGCTGTCCGTGGCCACGAATAACAATACGCGTAGGCAGACGACTTTCTTGATTTTGACCTTGTTGACCTATAGTCATTTGTCAGTCTTGATTTCGTTCAAGGGATCGGGTGGGGGTAACAAACCCACCTTACCGAATCCCACATCGTTGCAATTATCTCGCGGGAAGTGTTCGTTGACCTTAATTAGGGTCTCTGAAACCCGGAAGTTTCCGGGTGTCAAAATTAGTCACCTGTTTCCGGTTGGTAAATCATTAAAGTGACGCCATGGCCGATAGCCGCAATCTGAACATTGTAGTTTTTTTGGAATTTACGGAGTCGCCGGCCCATACAATGGAACTTTTAAAACATCGGTCTACCTAATTTTTTCATTTGGTTTTTTTTTGGGGCCGGGGGCCCCCTGGGGAAAAATTTTTGGGGTTCGGAAAAATTTTTTAAAAAATATTTGGGGCGGTAATTTTGGAATAATTAAAGGAAAAAAAAACCCGCTTTACCCAAAAAGGGGGGGGTTATTTAATTTTTTTTTTTTTTTTTTAAATTTAAAAAAAAAAAAAGGAGGGGGGGGGGGGCGGGGGAACCCCCCCACCCAAAAAAAAAAATAAATTAAAAAATATGGGTTTTTTTAAAAATATTATGTTGTGGGGGGGGGGGGGGGGGGGGGCGCCGCCCCCCGGGGGGGGGGGGGGGTGCCCCTTGGGGCCGAGGGGGGGGGCCAAAAATGGGTTTAATAAATTTTCAGCACGCGCGTTTCCAAGTTCATGCACTAACAAAAGGGGGTTTTCTGCAAGTTCGGATTTTGTTACGCGGGGCTCAAAAATGCTCAAATTCGGCTATTTCTGGGCGATTTTTTTTCGAAAACCATTAGCTTCTGAAAGATGCGATTGGTTCAGAATTTCAAGCTCTATCGAATGAACTACGCGTCACATTGCAAAATTATAAGGTCACCTAAAACCCACTGCTTGTAAGGAATTTTATCACGGGCCGGCTTGTAAAAACCTCGCCATGGTATATCGTAAACCGATTTTATCAAAGTGGGGGGCGACTTTTTCGTTGAGTCTAAAGCCCACCAAACTCAATCCCAGCTCATCAACCGGGGCGGCCACCATTTTGCGAATGTCGTGTGGGATGAGGGGTGGCAGCACGCAACCAACGCGCTCCTTTCCCAGGTGAATACGAAGCTAGAAGAAAGCGGCTCTCAAAACAGATCAGTGACCAACTCCTTTCTTTGCCGTCGGTTCCTCAAAATCGATGAGAATCCCCAGCGAATCGCTGATGTCCCTAGAAATACCGTGAGCTACTAAATGGTCTCAGGCACCTACACGGAATAATGGTCGCGCGGCAGGTCCAGCATGTGGAGTGCGTCCTGGCCCCATTCCATCACCAGTGATTTTGCCTTAATATCGTAAGCCACCGGAGTAAGGGCCTAAATGTAGATTCGCGCGTTTTCAGATGTAAATCGTTTGTATCTTTCGAGAACTGGTTATTCCACAAAACCGGTAGCCGGATTCGGTAGCAGCGCAAAATTCTGCCCAAGATAGGCTCGATCCCATCCCGAAGTCCGTACGACACTCAAAAACGTCTCCGTAAGTTGCGCAAAAATTTTTACAAAGGCAGCCCTGGCTTATTCTGAAGCTTCTACTAGATAAAACTAATTAGAATTTTTTTCCAATTCGCTTAAACTGTGTCTAAATTTACGCCGCAAAAGACAAGCCACTAAGTTCGCGTCACCAAATCGTCACACCCCGCGAAGCAAAGCCCGAAAAGCTCTCCAAAAATCCCAAAAACTTACAAATCGATTGAATCGCGCATTATCGTTTCGCATACAAAAGCCGAAGACCTAAAGTTTTCAAATTCAAGAAAATCGATAGTTGCTCACGATAGGATCATCGAACCCGTTCTGCCGGTTCAAATGCAAGGATCGGGCTATTTGCATCCCGGGAAGGCTCATCCACCGTATTTCATGTAGCTTGAATTGGTCTGCAAAAAACGCCGTTGGCGGCTTCGGCAGCGTGGGGGCTATGGAATTTAGCATCCGCCTACCTTTCCAGGTTACCCATTGAAAACACACGATGCGCGCATTCTCCATCAACACCAAAAGCTCACGCCGATCCTTGCAAAAGTGCATGTCGACTATTTTCCGGCTGCGATATTTAGGTGTATATTCATCCTCGCTGCAAATGGTGCAAACGATTAACGATTACCGTATTCCCTCTAATACACCCGCCCCTCCCCGCCTCTAATACATCCCGATCCCCCGGGTTGATTGAAAGAACAGAGCCCCCCTCTAATATAGCTCCGCGGAAAAAAATTCTGGAAAGTGCACTCACGGGCCAAAACAAAAGGCAAAGAAGGCTAAGTTTATGCTTGACACTGCGATTTTGAGTGATTTTAAGCTTCCTACCAGCGCTGACCCCCCGCTACGCGGGGGTTCAGCGCTGGCCCTCCCCCGAATTTTTAATTTGAATGCAAAATTTGGCTGAATTCACGGTCGGTGGGATCACGGACATTAGAAATTTATATATAGTAGATAGCAAAAAAATTTGAGTTTTTGGTCAGAAACCGATCATTGACCACCCCCAGGGGCGTACGAGGGGGGCAACAGGGGCAAGTTGCCCCCCCAAAATCGGCCGAAGGCCGAAAAGTTCATAAGGGGGGACCCTTATGATTTTTTTAAATAAAAATTTTTCTGCCTGCGGCGCTGTTCATTACTGTTTTTAAGACGGATTTTACTTCTATGAAGCCGATTTTTCCAAAATTTTTCGCCTGCGGCGCTGGTTTTTCATTTGTGCGTCAATTGTCCATATAAAATTTTCGCCTGCGGCGCCTTTTCTGTGAGGTTTGCACATCAATTTGAGCGCTGAGAACCTTTTTTTTTGTAATTTTTTCGCCTGCGGCGCTGTTCTCGTTGCGATTTGTTAAGGTTTTGAAAGTGGCGACCGGGGGGGGTCGACCAAAAATTTTGGAGTTGCCCCCCCTCCCCCCCCAAAAATGGGGTTCGTGTACGCCCCTGACCACCCCCCATTTTCGAGATTTCAGTCGATCAAAAAATATAAGCCCCCCTCTATTATACCCCCCCTCTAATACAATATCCGAATTACTATCAGGTAGGGAGTAAGTCCTGTCGACGATATTTTGGAAGGCCGGCTAACATCGTAGATAGCTGCATTCAACACAAGCGACATGTCATTTTGTCCCTCGACCTGAATCGTTTCGGGAGGTGGGTCCTAGACCGCCAAAACCAAGAAGGGTGCAGATACAGGCTCGAGAGCGAGAAGCTTTTTAAAGATTCCGAAGAAATGTTTTAGCGAGTCCGAACTCTGCATGCAAATATTTGCAGACGACACCTTTACCCAAATCGAAAGCCCTCGAGGAGTAAATCGATAGATGTCAAAATCATCAAAATTGCAATGCAGATGGCCGGCACATAGGCCCTTGAAATTTGGTCTATTTTTTAGAACATTTCCTGACAGTTGGTCAAAATCCGCACGGCACGTCTAAAGAAAGCCGCAATTTTTGGACGGCTGCCGGTATCGGACTGTATGGTATTTCGGGAAAAATTGTAGCAAATGGACCAGACTTCAAGGGTCTTTACCTCAGTGATCCCGGTTCTACTTTTCATGATCCCAACAGGTATGGATACCTACTCCTCGAGATCTATCCAATGGGGTTAAACGTATCGCATACAAATGACTGTATGCAGGGGGCGGGGGCCTCCTTGATTTTCGAGGGCCAGGACCCTCCTCCCTAAACTAATCAGGCCGAGAGCTATAAAATGACATGTCACATGTGCAGAATCGAGCTGTCTACAATTTTAGCCAGTCTTCCAAAACCTCGGCGACCAAACTTTCTTTCCAAGCTGATACCTGTCAAGATGCGAGTCTAATCACCTGCGATCTGCCACAAAAGAGTCCACGGAAATCACGCTGAACTGATCCTTGCTTTTTTCGTAGACGATGAGGCTCCTGGGAAATGGATTGTCGAGAAAAAGGGGCGTCTTACGTGAACGCCAATATTACGAACGACCGATTGGACACAAGCATATACGCCGATTTCACCAGCTCCGGCTTCGGTAGGCTAAAAAGCTTGGTACCGGAATGCTTCACGCGATTTCCCCTCACATTTTTTCGCCGTTTGGGCCCAGCGGCAGCGCCCCGGTGAACTTTTCGAGCTTCTTGGCCGGGCTCAGGTAGCGAAACTGAAGATGTGCACGAAAGGTGCTCAAATCAAAAGAGCATGTACCTGCATATGCAGCTCACAACCAACTCGGGCGCATTCCACGAAGATGTGCATTTTCAGGAAAGCGTCGCTAAAAGGGAAAGTTTTTGTTTCGTTGAAGTTTAGCACAGTTGTTGGTATACTTAGAATTCCGGGGAGTCAAAGTTTTTAGAAGAAAAATGGTTTTAAGTATGGTTTACTGTGTGTAGTGTATGGTTTGGGCTATCTACTAAAATAATTTTGCTGTGGTGTCCGTCCGTCGTCTGTCCGTCATGTCCCGGATTCAGATCGAAGGGGAATGGAGCTAGAGCTTAGGTCTCTTCGGATTTGGATCGAGCGTGGTCAGAAACCCCCAAACTGATAAAAATATGAAAGCTGCCGTTTAAGTTATTAGAATTAACTTTGAAAGTTTTTTACTGAGTGAAAGGGAGGGGGAGCGGTCTGTGGCATGATTTTGGACATAGTGAGCCAGGTCGCGCGCGTTTCGGCGAGGGGTGGAGCGCACAGGGGGCAGCTCAAAATCCGGCCGCTTGCAGCGGCTGGTCAAATAATGATTCTAAATTTTGACTTAGCTATCTCATTCGATAGAGAAAAAAATTCTAATCGAGATGGTGGACAAGATACTTATGCCAAAACGCCCCGAAAGACCAAAATATACGCAGGTTTTGTTAAGATTTCTTGGCCCTCTATCGAATGGCATTTTCAAAATGTCGAAGAAATTCAGAATGCCGAGAGTCCGCCCCGCAGCTGCTCATCGCTTTCAACGATGGTTTTATATGGGGCAATTAACATTACGCAGAAATTTCGGTACGCAGAAATCCATTAGACAGAAAACCGTTATACCGAAAACCCATTACGCAGAAAACCATTACACAGAAAATCCATTACGCAGAAATCTATTAAGCCGAAATCCATTAGACCGAAATTTCATTATACCGAAATCCCATTACGCAGAAAATCACTACGCAGAAAAACTATTACGCAGAAATTCATTATATAGGAAAAATATTTCGCAGAAATTTGTTACCCCAACCGTTCCACTCCCATAAGATTTTATATACAAAAAAAGTTGTATCCGCGGTCGTTGAGGTTGTTTCCATCATTGGCTCGCGGACTTTACCCAGTCAAATAGTCTTATCGGTTCGAAAATTGTGCGAGATTCCCGATACTCACCCTCCTCTCTAGACTTTTTGAAACAAATTTTGAAAACTTTCTCCGAACCCTTTTTACTAACTTTCCCTGATTTTATCCACCAAATTCTTTGCCTTATGATGCGTTGTCATCAACTCGGAAATTTCCAGCAAAGGGAATTTTTCCTTGTACGGAAATTTAGGTGTAATAGTCTTCTGCGTAATGAATTTTCTAGGTTTATAGCATTTATATTATTTCTGCGTACTGGTTTTTCTGTATAATGGTTTTCTGCGTAACGGATTTCTGCGTATTGAAATTTCTGGGTATTGAAATTTCGATATAACGGTTTTCTATGTAATGGTTTTCTGCATAATGGATTTTCGGTATAATGTATTTCTGCCTAATGCATTTCTGCATAATCAATTTTCGGTATAATGTTAGTAAATCGTTTTTATGCACTATCGAGCGTTTATATTATATTTTTCGTGCCGAAAATAATTCGCTTACCTATATTTTTTGATGTTCTATCGCCTGGCGTTTTGAAATAAACAAAAATCGCAAAAATTTGTATGTGTGCCCAGTTCTGGTATTTGAGGCAGCCAGGTAGTGCAAAACCAAAAAGAAGCCCAGTTTGACAAAAATTCAGAACCGCTCAAACATTGCCTCACCGTGCCCCATTCTCATCGGCATCGAAAATATATGGTATCGTAAAAACTGGAACTCCGGCGCTGCCAGGTTGGAAACCCCACGCCGTTCGCGGGACGACGAGTTCAAGTTGGGGTCCTAAAGTGCCGTAAAGGGTACCTCTGCGAGCCCCAACCTTTTGGGTTACCAATATCTCCGAGGAGAGCGTATGCTAGGAGTCCATCCTCCCGGGCGAGGATGAATGCTTTACGCTCCAGGTTCACGCAGATAATCGACTTGTACGGTCCTGGCTCAACAGTGGGTCGTTCAGGAGGGCTCTCATAAAATGCATAAGCACGTTCGTAGCGGGCTAGATGCCTAAATATACCATTCGACATGGACAAGGACATGTAATTTAAGCTCTCGTCGCGACGACAGGCGAGCATCTTTATTATCGAGATAAATGGGACCAGAGTTGAAAAGCAGCTTCGCGACTTTTCAACCCTGGGCCCCATCTGGTCCGATGATATTCTTCTCATTTCATAATTTTCTCAAATCCGGTTAGCAGAAAAACGGAAAACGATCTCTCTGTGCCTTTATATAGGCAACCGCCATTTCCGGCGGCTTTTTTTCTACCGATTTGGGTGGCCCAGATCTTTACAAAAAATTAAATTTGATGTCGGAAGCAGCCGATTTTGAAAAACCGGCAATGCATGCAGTCCTCTCCGCGTCAATACGCATGAACGCGAAGGGCTAGAAAAGGGGAACTGTTTTGGGCCAGCGAGCGTTGATAAAAACTCCGGACGAACCCGCTGTGTAGACAGAATGTGGACCACAGTACATAGTGTATCTAAAGGTTGGCAATCTTAGCCAATCGGGAAACACCCACTGGCTGAAGCTTCTCTTGATCAAAACGAAACATCTCTGTTGACCTTCGGAAAATTCGATGTCGCCGATCTCCACCATCCATCGACACGATCCCAAGAGGGCCGGCTACGTACTAAAAAGCCAAAAAATACAAATCTAATTCAAATCAATGGCGCAACCGGTTTCCGATCGATCGCTTTGCATATCCTAAACGATTAAATCGTTGGACAAAAACCGGTTTCCGGCATCGAACCGATTTAAATCGGTTCACGAGGCAAAACCGGTTTCTGCCAGGCTCGGAAATCGGTTCGGGGTAAAAAAACCGGTTTTTCACGATTCGGTCCCGGAAGTGAAACCGGTCTTTATTCAAATAATATTAATTCTAATCAACTCAGACAGCGTGATTGCTACTTGATTGTTCGGGCTTTACCAGTCGTTTACGATTGTCTTTCGGTCTCAGTTCTAGATAGACAAGGTATTTTTTCGCTTTCACGCGCGGACCCGACTGTTACTGATAGCCTTAGATTGTACTTGATCATTTTGAAGCGCTCCAGGCTCGCACCAGCGTTTAATATGACGTTCTAATCGTTTGTCTCTGAGACCATACATTGCAAAGAAGCTAAGACAGAACGCGATTCCCAAAAATTTATGAAATTTGAGGCTTTACATTACCGCAATTTGAATAATAAGTGTGCTGGGGATTTGCATAAAGACCGGTTTCACTTCCGGGTCCGAATCGTGAAAAACCGGTTTTTTTTACCCCGAACCGATTTCCGAGCCTGGCAAAAACCGGTTTTGCCTCGTGAACCGATTTAAATCGGTTCGATGCTGGAAGCCGGTTTTCGTCCAACGATTTAATCGTTTAGGATATGCAAAGCGATCGATCGGAAACCGGTTGCGCCAAAACCCAACCCTATTTGTGCTTGTAAAAACGTTTAGATGATCGTTGCCTTAGTTAAATTTTGTCAGGAAAAATTTCTAAGGGTAAAGACGCCTTCTGTCTTCATTTTCACTTAACATTCTAGAGGTCGTGACCAAAACCCTTTGAAAAACGCATTATAAGGTTCATTTTGTTGTAACTGCGAAAATTACTGTAGCTGGCGGGCTATAATTCAGAATTGTGTTTATTTTCGGTCTGATGCACCTCTCAGCCAAATTTCGGAACGATCGGATGTAAAACAGCAAAATGCCAGAGGGCTGCTTTTTTTGGGACACTCGGTATAACGTACAAATATCGGCTCTTCATCGGTCCATTCCGTCCAAGCCGTGATCGATCCGACACCGGGGTTTCTCTGGGTAACGAAGCGCAACTCACTGGCGTCTTCAGCCAGCTGGTATATGTAGATTACATCTTAAAGCTTGATGTCAGACGAATATATCGAAGCAACGTACCGTCCACTACTGCGTAAATTTCTGTAAAGTGCTTTTTCGATGCGAGGTCGACACACGACAAAACTCTAAGCCTCCGATGAGCGGGAGCAATGTCTCTTTTGCAAAGGTCATGGGCGCGTAGCTGGGTTGAAATCTGCAGGGGGTTCTTCAACTTTTCGAGAAGCAAATACCACGCTGCCATCTGGCCGAATACAATATAGCTTCTGTAACGTGAGTATCAGAACACTTTGATCAGCGATGGCCAGATCGCAGCAGTAGCCTAGATTCTTATCCGAAATCTAAAAGAACAAAGACAAGCTGAAGCCTATAACATCAACGTACCAAATCAAAAGCTCGAGTTTCAGTTTCGGATCCTCGATAGAGTGTGACAAAAGTGGAACCTTCCGCATAGCAAGCCGTAATCTTGCCGTCCGCATCACTGCCCACGATTTTTTGCTGGGCTCCACTGAAAAGCGGGTACCGAAACGGAGAGTCAAAGGTTAAAAAATGGAGTTCTTTCGCATTATCGGGGGGGAGTTGCCTCGGAACCAATTTTTCATTATGAACTGCGGAACCGTTTCTAAACTGTTTTTCCTGATCCTAAGCGCAATACGCAAAATAGCGATTTTTCGACAAAAACGGCTGTTTTTTAACCAAGAATTCGACTTTTGCAACATTTTGCAAAGTGTTTAGATAGTTTTCATTTTTATGCTTTTTTTACTTAAAATGTTATGAAAATATTTTCTATTAAGTTACTAGGCATTTCTATATTAATAGAAAAAATTGTTCCCCCCCCCCGATAAGGCACAAGAACAAACACCGGATTCTCTAAAAAAAGCACCACGAATGAAAACACCTAAAAACGAACCTGTTTGGACCCCGCTCAAGGACCACAATCTCGGCAGAATCTGGATCCAATGCGTTCCGAATTTCCACCTCAAAATCGGCGCTCATCTGTAAAACCGTAAAGTTTCTCATACAAAAAATACGCTGATTTTCGACTGCTCATTGCAATAGGTCCATTCCGAATTCCGCGGAAAAACGTAGCCATCCAATGCTGCGGCACTATTAATTTTTCGGATATCCACAACGGTTTTCCAGATCTGTGAAGGGCTAAATGGTGGATTTAAGGTGAAGTGAAATCCAGCTTACCTAGCTGAAGAGCTCTTCTCATAATTAGTGAGGCTACCAACGATTTGCTTGAAATACAAAATAGCGTATTTTAACACATCAGAATACAGGAGAATGCATGGATCTGAAAGAATAATTCTGAAGCAAGTTTAATCACGTTTATGTTTCAGAAATTTTTCTACAATTTTTTTTGGCTGTACAAGAGGATAAAACGTCGAAAAATAACGTAAATGAGCTATTGAAGTTTGGGGGGCGGGGGTAACATTGTATTAGGCTCTTCAAAGCTGGTAACTGGTGGACGGGGGTAACATTGTATTAGGCTCTTCAAAGCTGGTCCCAGGCCTTAGCTACCAAGCCAGGCGTAGCCCAAACCTAACCTAAGCCAAACCTAAGTTAAGCCCAAGCCAAGCGAGACCTTGCCTCAAGCCCCAGCTAAGCCTAAGCTAGGCCCATACCAATCCTAAGCTAAGCCAAACCCAAACCTAAGCCAAGCCAAAGCCAAGCCTAAACCTAAGCTAGACCCGAATCTAAGCCTAAGCTTAGCCTACTAAGCCTAGGCAAAGTTTAAGCCAGGCCCAAGTCTAACCTAAGCCTAAAAAATCCGCCGCCATCCAACTTCAACAGATCAAAAGAAAGAATGCTGATTTCATAGATAGCTTCTCGAGAAAAATTCCACCCCCGAAAATTTTGAGACCAAAACGACTCACCTTCGGCATTTTCATAGATCACTTCAATCGTTCGAATATCTTCTCCGTCATCAAAAATCGAAAATAAACATTGCATTGAGAAATCGCGGCGCGGCGCCACCCACAGGGTGTACGGCTGGACATCCAGCAAGTTACCAATAGCTAAACCCGGGGATGTTCATTACTTTTTTTGGTAGGTTGACATTAAGAGAAACGGTTCTGGTTCGTTAGCGGGAGGATTAATGTTGTAGATTTTTCCCGAGGTTTTATCGTTTTTGGGGACTAATCATCGCAATTCAGTAGAGCATCAAAAAATATACCAAGAATTTTAATTCTAGAGCAAAAACAATAATTTAATAAAAAAGTTCTGACCAACGCAAAAACCTCCGAAAATGGAGTGATTAAGCTATTTTTTTCGGGATTTCCTATCCTTTTCGACATCCTGTTAACGCTATTCGGTAGAGCATGAAAAAATATTATAAGCTTTTGTTTTACATCTCAAAATAATGTAATTTAAGATAAGTGAAGCTATTGACAAGAAAACGTATCCCCGGTAAGCTCCCCCCGCCAGCTAACGATCCAGAACCAGAGAAACCCTAACCGTCTAAGGGTTTAAAAAGCTTAAAAAATTTTACCTGACAACATAAAAGTTTCATTCTTAAATTCCAGCGAGGCAAGCGCCGTTCTTGGTAAAAATGTCGGCGTTCGTTGGACAGACACGAGCTGTGGTTGAAATTCGGTCATAGCGAATTATTGATTCAGCGTAGTTATCATAATCACTAGAAATAACGTTGAAAAATTAATCAGAAATGCTATGAGCTTTTGAACGGGCTTCATCCCGGCAGGGTACAGGCGGCGCCTATGCACGCGGGATTTGGAACAATAGCTTGCGTGAGCGGTCCCCCCGGGACTCCCCCCAGTACCGGAGTTGGGGCGAGTGGACGGATACAAGATTGAAAGCGTCATTTTCGTCAAGTGTCGAGTGTTATAGAAAATTTGGAGAATTTGAGCCGTCAATGATTTATGGCTTTACATGAAACCATGGCAGTTCGGTTCTGGGCTGTTAGCGGTGGGATAGATTTTCACGGGTGCAAACCAATTTTTTTCTGTGTGTCTCGACGGCCCTTTCGCAAAATACAAACCATTTTTCTGGCAGTTTTCACTTTTTGGTCAAAAATGTGTGAAAAACGACCAAACAAAAACCTAAAATTTCCTAATTTTAAAAATTTTAAAAACATTTTTGCAATGTCCTCACAGTCGAAAACTACTATTAACGCTGTAATAATACATCATATCTAATATCCTCAAGAGATCATTGGTGGAAAACAAAAAAGTGGTCCTTTCTCGTCAGAAGGTCTGGTCAGGAGACTTTTTGGTGCAAAATGTATGAAAAATTTTTGCATTTTCAAATTTTCAAACTATTTTCAGAATTTTCTAACGGTCAAAAACTACTAAAATGACTATGAAAAGACATAATCTATCCTCAAGCGATCCTTGGTCTAAAGCAAAACGTGATCTGATTACAATCAAAAGCGATCTGATTAACATGCAAAAATAGAATTTGAGTTAGTTGGAAACTTGAGCTCGGACCCGGAGGAATCAATTTCATTCCACTCGACACAACCGACAATTTTGGCCTCGCCTACTCGACCGTCGATGAGACGTCTTCATCGTTCCCGGAGGGACACGACGCAGATTGTCTACTTACTGATTATCGCCTTCTTCAGCAACAGCCACGGCCACCCGTCAGTTTTTGGATAGTTTCTAGACTTTGAAGGGTTGTTCATCTACTTGATGGTTTCTTGGCGTCCATTATTGCTTTGCAATCCTACTTCCATTGTTTCAGTGATGGAAATATTCGGCAGCCACCAAGCGCCACGTTCGACCTCAATGACTTCTCGTCTACCCTGTTCAGCCACAACAACCACCGGATCCGACGTGACGAAGAACTCCAAAATGTTTGAAAGGCTATCTGATTTTGAATGGTTAATTTAGTGTGGTCCATATCGCCTGTTCATTTGTTATGCCTACGAACATCTGGCAAATGAAGGAATGGAGATGCCAGAATGGGTGAAGCTTCTGTGTCCTGCTTGTAAAGCCCCGATATGCAAAGTGGCGGGCATCGGCAAGACAGCAGAAGATAGACTGATGTTGAACGTTGGATGTCGACCAAACTTTTGTGTACGTGCAACGAAATCCGAAAGCTTAGAATTTCCCAATCCTGCTCCGGAAAGCACCCAGTTCATTTATAGATGGCCGAATACAAGGAAGAATCCGGGGCACCAGATTGCATCCTACCTGTAGCGATCAACGACGGCAAAAGTATGACCGATTGCTTAACCTTTCTAAAACATTGACAGATAAAGTCCTGTTCCCTTTCAATCTGTGCACCAGGGAAATGCTAGCATCGGGAAAATGCGAAGGAAAGGCATGGTTGGGTCAATTGGTCATTATTGATGGTTATAATCCACTCAGGAGCACGAATCCATACGTGACAATCGGAATTGCATTAACCAACCAGTACTTTGTGCAATGTGACGCCGGCTTCATAGTACCAGCGTAAGTATTTTGCTTGTTTCTACGACCACTGTATTTTTACTAGGCAGCTCTTGGCTGCAGAGGAATTACAATGCTTTTTTACTTTTCCTGAAGTGAGACTAGAAAAAGTATTGTTCGAAAGGTGCAAGGTGCTAGACTTTCCACTAAAATATCTAATTTCGAAAAGATTCGCCCATAAGTGGTACGGCGTCAAGATAATTTTAGAATTGTCGTTGAAGCACATAAGAAACATGGCGATGGACCTGATGCACCGTTCATCACTTGTGTCCCGAGTCTTCACTTAGCCGCCGGATACGCTGTTGGGGATCTATCGCTATTCAGCAATTACCCATATGATGCAGTTAATCCACGGAGCATTGAGGTATTCAATAAATTCGTGCTAAGACATGCCATTTGCAGTACTGCGGTAAGGGAGGGCGGCAGAAAGGCGACATGTGTCAGCCACTACCAATCTGCAAAAACGATGGTCGACCGCCGTAGGAAATTGCAAAAAGCGCTTCAGAAAACTTTTTTTAGATCTTCTCTGTTTGCCTCAGACGTCGTTTTTCATGCAAAGGACTGCGACAAGCCTTGTGAATACCAATTCGGCGCCACATACGATGACTGTGTCTTTCTGGATATCTCGAATCCCGGAGGAGCCATGCCCTATTTCTCAGCCCGGCGAGCACTGGTTGGTATTATTGGAATGACCCTGAACCTGTTTTTTTAATAATTCGCTCAGCCAGAACGTATGACCTTCTTTTAGTCCGGTCCGTACGCGGTCTTCATGGATGAAACGGAGAACCTGATGCTTGGCGCCGTGACCAGCAGTGAGGGATCAACGGCGGCTCCGAACGCTCCGGAGACGTCGGAAACGACAACAAATAACCCCACAGAGGGAGGACCGGAAAATGTATCTTCTCTTCACCATAAGCGGGAGGTACTAATGATAGTAATGTGCTCTTTTTGTATACCATGTATCATTCTTACTAGGATTGCTTCCAGCCAGGCTCACTGAAATATCTTTTCCAGATCCGGCCGTTCTCGTCGCCAGATGAGAAAAGGGGTCGTGCTCGCCGCCAAGATAACACCTCGGAGAAGATTCAATACCCACGATGCATCAACGTGGCCGGACTGGCGGTATCTTCACAACATCTGCAGATGAACTCGTACCATTTTAGGGCGAGGATCTGCAGAGGGTCCAGGGCGACCAGTTTCTGAACTGCGACACGAACATCTTTGTCCAGTTCCGAAACGGCAACACCAGCGGACTGGCCATCGACCCGCCGCCATGCGAGGGAGCCAATGACACTGTAAGATGCTTGCTGAGTAGTTTTGATGATTCCTCGGGAATTGAATACCTTTGAAAACGAATCATTTCCAGAAAATCTGCACGAATCGTGATGGAGCCCCAACGGAACCGACTTTCATCATCACAACCACGACAGCTGCCGCTCTATCGAGTGAAACGCTGATCGGGATCGGGGCTGGTCAGACACATGTTCTTTCCTCCCTTTTGATACCTTTTTTGTTCAGGTGTCGGCGGCGTCCTGCTGTTGTCGGTCTGCGGTGCAGTGTTGGGTTGCAGGCTCAAAAAGTAGTTTTCGTCATTCTTGCGAACCGCGCGCGTTCAGGAAGAAGAAGGACGACGACCCGGAGAAGACGGTGGTGGTATCACCAATCCCACCGGTCGATCCGGAACCTGCCCCCGGGATTTCCCCGGCCGTCCCAGCCGTCGTCGAGCCACCCCCAACGGCACCGATTCCATCTCCAGCTATTGGTGGATTTGGTCCAGCTGCCCCGATGAAGGCACCATCGAAAATCGTTAATCTCGCCGAGGGCCAGTACAAGCTCATCACCACCAATATCGAAGGAGGGCACATGGCGCATTTGGAGAAGATGGTAATCCGTTTAATTCGTATGCTTTGGCGGCGTTGCCGTTCGCTCGCTTGCGCGTTCACACGCTTCGGGGTTCTGCAGGCTTCGGACTGTTAAGACTCCCGCTGCGCGCAGTGTGGAGTTTCCTTTCATCTTATTACTTCTCCTATATCCTAACCAGCGCCCAAAACCCGCTTCGCGGGCCTTGGGCGCTGGAATGCTGTCTTTGCATGAGAAATTCGCCTTTCCGATAGCTCGGGTCCTTCGGACCCCCCAGACCACACGCGCGCGTGCAATTCGCAAGAATGAGGAAATTTGTATTTTTTCGCATTATGCAAATTAGCCCTCAGATACCCCCAAAAATGAATAAAACCGGCTTTAACTTTGTAAACTTGTATTTTATCGTAATTCTGAGAACGCCATCCGAAACAGGAGGGTCGATTACCCCAAGTGACGGAACATTAGAGCCTTTTATACACGGGAAGGCTCTCAAATCGAGCCTCGAAAGTGACATCCGCACACACACACACACAAAGATACGCGACCAAATTATATAAGGTAGGATATATATAAAAAAATAATGTCTGGGTGTGTGTATGTGCCACGTTGCATGCAACTTGGGGTTCGGGGGATATCTCAAGAGGGGATGGGTCTAAGGGGGTGTTTGATACCTCATTAGAT